AAAAGAAAAAGGAAGGCAGGTGAAATGAATGAATTGGTAATGCCTAATGGGCAATTAGGTTGTCAGAATTGATGAATAGATGAAGTAATGGTTGGAAAAAGAAGGTGACAGCGTTTGCAACCGATCCATCTACTACTGCTGCAGTATTCCATTTGGATAAAAGGTATGCATGTCTTCCTTCTTTTAGGCCCATTTTAAGTTAAATCAACTTGGCTTTCTGGGCTTTAATCTATGCAGATTGCAACTGCATGCATGTCCTGTCCGTATATATATATATATATATATATGTGTGTGTGTGTGTGTATGTGTATGTGTGTGTGTGTGTGTGTGTGTGCGTGTGTGTGCACGCCGTAAAATGACACATAAAGACGGTGTTTTGCATTTGGGATTGTGATCGATCGCTTAACTAACTGGATTGGTTTAAAAATTAAACATTATAAGCTAGCTATATAGAGGATGAGATAGTTGATGAATGAGGAGAGAGATGGGTTAAGCTAAAGTTTAATGGAGCGTTATTTGGAGAAGGACAAGAATTGTAACGGATTTATCATTTTGCAATTCGTTAGAAAATTAGGATGCATGCTAAATAATCAAAATAAAGTTTTGAAAAGAGCCAAGAATAGATGCAAGTAAGCCTAACTGACTTGTGAATTCATTCTGTTGAAATAATACGCATTGCTTGTTCTCTCCTCCTCCTCCTCTCCCATCAAAAGACCTCCTTTTTCTAAATCAACTTAATAGCAAATGCATATATACATACTAACAGACGGACACGCACACACACACACACACACGCACACACACACACACACACACAATACATGCACACGCACACGTACACTCACGGACAGACACCATAATTGATAGATTTTACTCTTTTGAAATTTATGATTTTAGGAAAATTTTCGAATACACCAAGAAATATCACGAATTGTTGATTCTTGTAAACATTGGAAAGAATGTAGTTAGCAGGGATGAAATTGTCACAAAGATAACATTGTTAATAGGCTAATAGTCAAATTATTACTAAAACTCTATTGATCAATTAGTTAAGCTTAGTGTAACTTCAAACATTATGATATGTAAATCATTTTTAGCTTACACAAATTTAAATCAAAATGATGTGACAAACGATTGTCATTTCATTTCAATATTATTGAATATGTTGACAATATTGTCAACTAACACTATGAATATTTGTTTATTTCACTACAGATATTTTTTTATAGTTGATATTATCAAATGACTAAAAATATTCCTAAAAGAATTGTTAATGAGAATTTCCTATCGTTTTTCTTTTTTTTTCTTTTTTCCGATCAAAAAAAATGATTTGTTTAAATTGAAAATGTTGAGGCATATGGTATGCTTACTCAATAATTAAATAATCTTTGTAACTATCAATTTCATCGATTATTTATGACCATAAATTCTTTTTTTTTTTAAAGGTCATCAGTTGAAGAAGGCAACATATGTGTTGGTATTGTTTTGTAATCATCACGATCGCAACGTACTGGTGGTTTTGCTTTAATCTGCAACAAATTAGATAACTTCATATTCAAATTTAAATTTTGATACTTTCAAGAATCTTACAGTTTAAACTAAATTTTATGAAAAGAAAAAAAAATTTTTAAAACCTCCGTGCTTCTTTTAGCAACTCTTTTCATGGGAATATGTGTAGCAAATGAATCCTGCTCTTCTTTTCGCTGTAATATTGGCGCAAATAAACATTCCCAATCAAGTTTGTTAATTTTAGTATATGAATCAGTATAGGTAGAAATTTAAAAACATTTAGATATATTCAATGCTAAAAATTTTTCCAATAGTTATTGGGCTGTAAGTCAAAAGCGCCGTATTGATGTATAAAGCTAAACTTAAGTTAAAATTTCATACATAGAATTCAACTTAGAAAGTTAAGCATTATTTTTGAACTACCTAATTTTGATTAGCTAATAATCTGTACCAGTTTCTTATTGCTTTGCTTATTTGCTATTCTCTCTCTCTCTTTCTCTCTCTCCCTCTCTCTCTTTATCCAGGTGATTTTGAAATTATATAATTAAATACACAATGCTTGGGTATTAAAGATAAATACAAAATACTATGTCATTCGTTATGGAAGCTTATGATTCATTAAATTTCCTCTAGCGAATCAAAAAAAAGAAAAAATACTGGAAGAACGGCTTCTTCAGGTTGTGATATGTCCAAATTTTGATTCAAATTCAACGATTTAGATTTCGAGTGTGACTGCAAGTTTCACATTTCATAGCCAGTTACAACATAAATTTGAAAAATACTTCCGACCCCTCCGACCGTACTTAATTCTATCTTACCTCTCTTTATCTTATTTTAATTTAATTTTGATTGAGATTAAAAATTCATTAGTTGAAACATCTATAGCCATATATAAATGGCAGCATTTAAATATTGATTCATACCAAATATGATGATGAAATAAAAGCTATCCATCTCTACGACAAAATAGCTTATTGCTTACTTGATGAATCATTTTCATGGTTTCTGGTTGTGTTGCTTCTACCGATTTTTCCGACTAAAAATTTCTCTAATGGAATGTTACACTACCACTTATCAGATAAGCAAATGAATTTAATTCACCTATTTTCAGCAATGTAGGATTTCTTTATACTAACTACTATGACAATTGCGCCTTCAATTCAAAAAGTTTCTTTGAATCTTTTCTTTTTTAACTGCTTCGTTTTTACTTTTCGATAGTGCTTTAATTTTCAATATTTTCATAGAAACTTCGCATTTCTCATCATTCATTAAATAATGCATACAATATCATCCATTAAATACTTAAATTTGATATAGCTTTAAAATTAACATTTACATTTTGAAGGCGTAATTGTCGCAGTATACGATCTATATAGAAGCATGCAATTGAAATATTACAAGTATATCAAAAATAACAACCGATGTACGAGGAATTGATTGCGATTTTGATAACGCTGGTGATTGAGCATCCTCACGAATTGTTTTAGCTGTTCGTGTTACACTATTTGCTTGTACCGTAGTGACACCGGTTTCATCCGAAGAACGGTGCAAAGGTTTTTTAATTTGGTTAACTGATCGATTACAACATCCCCACCAAAATAAGGCTGTACTCATCAGAAAAACAAAAGCTGTTTGCATACTGAAATTTTCATTCTTTGCCATAAACGGAATATTATAAATTCAAAAAAGAAAAAGCTCTTAGGTAGAACTGAAGAATAGCGATATTGATTTCCATGATCCGCGCAAATGTCACAAATATAAGAATTGGATATTTATTTAAAAATATTCTCTTAGCATTTCTATGAAGAATAAATCATTGAAATCTATAGAATGATAACGATTGATAATATTGATTTGTTGTCATCTTCAATAATTATATGAAATTTAAAAAGAACTGTTGCAATTTTCGCTCCCATTGGTTTAAAAATCCCCTCCTCTCCTTCCTTTTATCTTTCATATATTATCAAATAGTGAAGTATACCAGAAGAAAAGCACATCATAAGCTGCCTCCATCAGTGATCGATTTCATAAGTCTCAAAAATAACGGAATGTCCGTGAAAAGGAAAAAAAAAGAGAGCGAGAGAGCTTCAACGAACGATCCTTACAACTTTACAAAATTGATAACAATAAAATGTAAATGGATGACAGCGATTTTATAGTAGTAGCAATTTGTCATGAAACATATAATAAAGAAATAAATAAGGCCATAGGTTAGAGTTATTGTATGAAATGTAAATTTATAACAAAAAATCATATATCGTTTAAATAAAATACAAAGATTTGTGGCAAAAGTAAGGCATAAGTAATGACCTTATGCAGGAGTCACCAAGCATATCCTTTGAATTTCACTAATATACGGTGATCTTATGCAGGGGCCATCAGAAATAAAGTATCCTTCTGATTTTCCCATACAAACAACGAATAACACCAGTAATCGACACGATTATCTTAATTGATATTACAATTTAATGAAATAACGGAGTTGTGAGCAAATGTAAACAAAAACTGACGTTCAGTGGTGTAATTCGAAATGATAAGAATGGAAGATAAATATTGTTAAAGGTTTCATTAGCTGATATGATGACTGTCACCTAATGATATCCCATAGATACTTTTGTTGACAAGATTTAAGTATTACAAAATGCTGCAATTGATTTGAATTTGTAATCTTACAATCTTTCGAAGGTAAATAATGTTTTGAAATAGGTCATCATTGGTTCATATGTCTTAAATTTTCGATTGCACCAGGCTTTTCGTCATTATATCAAAAATAGAATATCAAGAGGGAACAGAAATCCGATGAAACATTTCTTTTAGTCTAGACTTCTTCCCTTATGTTTGATTATCACAAATGATGCCTGATAAAAAAGCGTCTTCAGAAGCAGGAATACCTGAAAATCGATTTTGAATTTGGGGAAAATGCAACGTCTCTAGATATCACAGATACCGTAATGACTAAAAGTGGTACATGTGCAACTGTCACCAGTTATCCTCCTGTCATGATTACTGTGCTTAGGTGATCTATTGATTAATAATAAATGCATACTGAAACTTAAAATTGAATTAATCAGATGAATAGAAGGAAAAAGGAAATTAGGAACACCGTACCGTACAGACAGCGATTCGATTCTTCCAGCTATCCCTACCGATATATGCTGGTGGAAGGTATCGATGATGTGTGAAACTACCGGAAATCATTTGTATCAGATCGTAGGTTAACAGTGAACCGGCCAATAAACATGATAAAAATGCTATTAAATTGAATATTACTTCCTGAAAATTTGTCATCATCATAAAACTTCGATTATCATTCATTACATTTCAATATATCATATTTTCATGATAAAAATCATTTTTGGATTTTTATTTTTATATTTTCTGACAAAACATACATCTATCTAATTAGCAAATTATGAATATGAACATTTAATCAAGCAATGATATCTCACTGATAATGAATGATTGCACAATCGATATCAAATCACTAGTATGATACCGTCCCACAAATGAAACAATTTGAAACTAACAACATTGTAAACGTTCTTTATACCCACATATAGTACCACCAGTGTCAAAAAGGTACACACAATGAGAAAGATGCAAATGAAGAAAATCACTGTGTAGATGAACCACTGATATCTTCCATCACTGATAAAAATGACAACAACCAAGGAACATACCTAAAAGGATCATCCGTATGTTACTGTATAGTGAAGCTTAATCAATCTATCTACTGACATTATGTACATCCCTCATCAACATAATGAAAAATGATAAGCCGTGAGTTTAAATAACCCGTAAGAGATGATATTCAGCTTATATTGGAGCTAACGGGAAATGTCGTTAATAAGAATAGGTCAAGTAAAGTTCAATGAGGAGTGGACAATTGACCTTGTTGCTATAATCTCTATTGCTTATTAATGCTAAGAAAATCGTTTAAAAAATTTAAAAAAAAAATTGAAATTTCAATGACAACAAATATTTCGAAATCATTCCAAGTTAAATGTGAACAAATAATCCAATAAGATGGGATGATAGCTATAACTAAAGAGAAAAATTAAATACAGAGATGAAAACCTCGTAACGGATCTCTGATAGCGTTCTCTATCTGTTGGAACTGATAATAGAATTGTTCGTGATCAAATTCTTCTAAAACTGAATTCCAACAATTTAAATCGATTGTTATTTAAAATTATGAATGAATATTTGTAAGCAAGCAAATGGCTGACCAATTGAAGCCATTTAAGAATTGGTATTTTAGAAATGCACCACACTGGTGGACGAACGGTAGCCATTGGATACATATAGCAGGAAGTAAGGCTGAAAATGAAAAATTGAGGTTCCTCAAAGTCGTTGCTATTATTACTATTGTTATCACTGCTACTATTGTCGTTGTTGTTGTCGTCGACTTCTGCTCTTCCAGAATATTACTGGAAGCTGAACATTGAACTAAACGTTCCTTAGGGCGCTAATCCCTCTTTTCTCTTTTTTTCGCATTGATAAATGCGAACATTCGAATTGCCACACAGACACACATGTACACACAGATAGACAGACAGACAGACACACACACACACATATACACACACACACAACACACACACACACATAGTGTTCGTTTATATTGCAAATTTAGCTGCAGCTGAAGTAGCTATAATTAGCGCACTCAGCATGTATCTATAACATACACTGCTTACAATTCCATCATATTCCTGTTCATTAATCAAAATAGGTAATTGAAAAAAACATAATTTCGTTGACAAGGAGAAATGAAATATTTAAGCATAGATGCCTTTAGTGGGTACGGTACCATACCGTACCACTAAGATATTGAGACTGTAAGCTAAATGACTGTATAGTGCTGGATAAATGCGATGTAGAAAAGTTCTGTGAAGCCAACGAAAGTGAGAAGGAAAATTATTTCAAAAAACTTTTCATGAAATAATTGATGAAGAATTGGAGAGAAGGAGAGAGAGAGAGAGAGAGAGAAGAGAAAAAAAAGGGTAAGAAAGACGAGAGGGCATCGTGGCGTTAGTCTTTCAAGGGGCAGCTCGGACTAAAATATGAATTCCCAACCGATAGCTGAACAGGTGAAAGACGTACGCATAACGTGCCCATGATATCACAGTTTATTTACGTGTGCCCGTATTAACGAAATAAAATAAAATGACATTGTGAGCATTTCGGTCAATCGATATCATATGAGTATTATCAAGAATCAATTGTTAAAGGGGTTTCGTTTAACTGCTTGGAAATAGTGGAATGTATGTATGGGGCGGAGAGGATACGGAGATTGCTTAGCTTGATAGGGCGGGAGGGCGGGGGGAGAGGGGGGGGAATGTATTGGTTGCTCCATGTACAGCAAGCAACAAAGGCACAAACAACGAAATGAAATTGCCAGCTGGCTCTTTTAGCTTTAGACATCATTCCTACAAATCACTCTGAATAACAGTAACGGAAACACAGCTCCAAATTGCACCTATTAACCCCCTTCCCCTCACTGGTACCTTTATATATATATATATATGGATGGATTGACCCACCCCTATCAGAGAACTGTTGGAGGTGTCAAGTATCACTATCACATACAGTATAGCGAATAGTATCGGATTCATCAACGTCCAGCATTTCCACTCCCTCCCCTCCCCCCCCCCCCTCCTCTTCCCTGTTATCAGAATAATAGAAGAATGTAGTGGAATCCTGAGGAAGCTAAACCCTCCTTCTCCTCTTCCTCCTCATCTTTTTCCTCTTCCTCCCATGGCCTCTGTCCCTCTTTTAAATTATAAACAAAATGAAATACACCGCCAGAAATGAAGCTAAACAATGGTTAGGGATGTACATATACATTTCTTCATTTTACTGTTAATGGAAAGAAGATATATACGGGAGAAAATGAAGTGAAAAAGGAGGGTAGAAAGAGGAGAGTGGAAGAGATTTAAATACAAAAATTCAATATCATTGGTTTATGTGAGATTTTGATTTGACAAAGATAACATATAAAAATGTTTGTAAAATTTCAAAAATAATTTTACGTATTGTAATAAATTTCCGGGATTACCGGGGGATTCATTTGATATTTCAATATGTTTTAGATCCTTTTATCAGAATAACAATCATTGTATCATTCAGGATTCGCCGGTATTTGTTTACGGAATGTGTAAAAGATTTATAAATACATTTGAAGTTTTCTTGAATTAACTATTTTGTTCATTTCAAAGTTATTAAGCGGTTTTGTTTAAAATCATTGGTTGTTAAAAAAAAAAAAAATAAAGAGATTATTTCGAAAAAAAGCAATTCCATTGGTCAGTTTAGTGGATTTTCCTTTTGGATGAATTTAATAACAGTTTCTTTTTTCTTTTTCCTCCATTTTACAACCATAGAATTGTCTAATTGATTCTAAAATTGAAAATTTGAAATTTGAAAGTAAAT